AATTATAATTTCACACTTATTTATTCCCAACGAATTGCAATTACTTCTAATTGCCGCTGGGAATTTCGACGCCTTTTCTACCTTCTATCTTTTTCAGTTCCGTTTTCACCATCAATATTTCATGGTTCGAAGCACTTCACGTAATATGATATATATTAACCAAAGTAAGAATCTAGACCAAAGACTATTTAATTCTAATGAATTTAGGATCTCCATTTAAACCAAAATTTCAGATTTGGGAGGGTAGTTTTGAGAAAAGGTAGGTTTCAAAAAACGGTCAAAAATTCGAAAATTTGACCTTTCCGAGGGTCATAACTTCATGTGTGGGAAAATTTGGATGTAACTGTTTATGCAGTGGGGCTTCCCACAACCCATTCTACCCATTCAAATCAAAATCTCATATTTGGCAGGGTAGTTTTCGAGAAAATGTAAATAACCCAAAAACTTGGGTCAGACTTTTTCGAAGGCTGTAGAAAGTGAGGTAAGGTAAAAAGAGAGGGGATTATGCAAGCACACAGGTGAGTTGAAGTTACCAAATTTTGCAAGGCGGTACAGTAGTCTTTGAGAAACACTAAATTTTTGAAAAAGGTGAATAATTTTTCCGAAGCGTCTCTTAAAAAAAAACAAAAAAAAACGATCCCATACATTTTCATAATACCTGTTTTTATCAAACAGGCATTTAAAATGACTTTTCAAATTATAAACTGCAATAAAACCTGTCATCGTGAACGGGTAAACAAAATTTGACAACATTTCCCATATGCAAAATGCCGTGTTAACAATTTGTGAACTGTTTCATTTTTAAATTTATCGAGGGGGGTGGGAAACTGGAAAAAGCGCAAATGCGGTTCAATTTCAGGAATGATACAATTGCCAGTGTTAAATTAGTATTGAAAAACAAAATTTAGCAAGCAGTAATTGAGCAGACACTACTTGGGTAGACAAACATTGAGCCGAACAAAAAAGCAAACCAAGAACTATAAAAATTTCGATAACACCCAGTTTTACGCACCCCCCTCCCCCTAGATATTACCAAGTTATTTGAAAAACACGAAAAAAAAACTGAAAGAAACAAAAAATTGATAATTTACAGCCAAAAAAGATCGATGAGAACGTCAATTTAAAATGCATATATTCCCAAAAAAAATTCTGTTGGCCAAACTTTAAGCAGAGGCGAAGCTGCGCTTCGCAAAAACTTGCGAGAACACGACCAAAAAGCAGCTATCTTTTGAATTAAGAAAAAGTAGAAAGACGCCTCGAATTAGCAAAAACTCGGCAACGAGTAGGATTCGAATGTGCGTCCTACTGCAATCAAGAGATTTTGAGTCTCACGCACTATCCACTCAGACACGCAAGCTTAAGAACCGACAACACTAATCACGAATAAAGCAGCTTCATATGCTAATAAATTACCAATGCGATTCAGCAACAATGGCTTCAATAACAAGACTCAAATTTACTTCAAGTAATAATTTGAATATAGCAAACTGAAGGAATCCACACTAACTTTGCATGAAACAAATCGCAAACGTGTTTAAATAATGCATTTCAAAAAATTGCAAAATTGAGTTTAAAAATTTCTGAAATCGACTTTCATTTGTTGTGTTGTTTGAAACAAATCACTCTTATCGGTCCATTTGATGAACTAAACATGCATCAAATGTCTCAACTTATTACTATTCGAATGTCAAAGCACATGCTATGAAAAACCTGTAAAGTTGCCCCAAAAAAGTTACCAATATTTGCGACTTAGGTTGGAAAAAAGAAGGTTCGTACTCGCTTCGCAAGTGTAATCAGAACAGATATGCCAACTGCTGCCTCAAATAATTTAGGTGATTTTGTTAAACTAGGCATTCCATTAACTTGAGAAGAAAGATTTGAAGAAGACAATTTGAAGAACAGATAGTGAATTAAGTCTTCACAGCGGTCAATTACAATAGTAAAGCTTGGCCAAGAAAATTAGCTGAGTCTGAATTCAAAAATTGGATGTGCTTGTTCACGCAAACAGCCAGATGACGTTGTTAGATTCTAAACAACCCATTCTAGCCATGGTGATTCGAGCAGTACTAAAAAATTTGCAACGTCAGAAATCACCTTAAATTTTTTGCTTTTTCGAGCGAAGATCCATGGAAATTAACTCTTTGAAATCCGATGAAAATCAACTATTTGTAGCATCTTCGGATAGCTAAATTGATGCTTAATCAATACCCCCTTCACTGCGAAAAAATGATGATTTTTATTGTTTTGAAAAGATAGCAGAGGCGGATAGTTTTATGTGCAACTTGGGCAGCATTCTTCTCTATTCGCATATTGATTAAAAAAGAAGTAAGTCTAATTTATATTCTGTTTGCATTCAGTTTCTACTCATTTTAACGCTCATGATTGAAAACAGTATAATTAAAGCACCAAAATAATTGACAGAATTAAACTCATATCTACAAAATTAATGAAACATTCAATGACTCTTTTCTTTGCTTCCTACGAATTGGATCAGACAATGATATTTTTATTATCTCTCCTACCCCATTTTCGAATAATTAACATCACTATTTGCAGCCAGTGCCAATTGTAATGCGCTCTTGACGAACACAATTGAATTTCTTCTCATCTTTACAACAAAATCTACCGGTAAAAAGCAAAAGGATGTTTGGCGTATGTTGAGTAAGAGAAAGGAAACTTGGCTTCTTATAATTATAATTTCACACTTATTTATTCCCAACGAATTGCAATTACTTCTAATTTCCGCTGGGAATTTCGACGCCTTTTCTACCTTCTATCTTTTTCAGTTCCGTTTTCACCATCAATATTTCATGGTTCGAAGCACTTCACGTAATATGATATATATTAACCAAACTAAGAATCTAGACCAAAGACTATTTAATTCTAATGAATTTAGGATCTCCATTTAAACCAAAATTTCAGATTTGGGAGGGTAGTTTTGAGAAAAGGTAGGTTTCAAAAAACGGTCAAAAATTCGAAAATTTGACCTTTCCGAGGGTCATAACTTCATGTGTGGGAAAATTTGGATGTAACTGTTTATGCAGTGGGGCTTCCCACAACCCATTCTACCCATTCAAACCAAAATCTCATATTTGGCAGGGTAGTTTTCGAGAAAAAGTAAATAACCCAAAAACTTGGGTCAGACTTTTTCGAAGGCTGTAGAAAGTGAGGTAAGGTAAAAAGAGAGGGGATTATGCAAGCACACAGGTGAGTTGAAGTTACCAAATTTTGCAAGGCGGTACAGTAGTCTTTGAGAAACACTAAATTTTTGAAAAAAGTGAATAATTTTTCCGAAGCGTCTCTAAAAAAAAAACGATCCCATACATTTTCATAATACCTGTTTTTATCAAACAGGCATTTAAAATGACTTTTCAAATTATAAACTGCAATAAAACCTGTCATCGTGAACGGATAAACAAAATTTGACAACATTTCCCATATGCAAAATGCCGTGTAAACAATTTGTGAACTGTTTCATTTTTAAATTTAACGAGGGGGGTGGGAAACTGGAAAAAGCGCAAATGCGGTTCAATTTCAGGAATGATACAATTGCCAGTGTTAAATTAGTATTGAAAAACAAAATTTAGCAAGCAGTAATTGAGCAGACACTACTTGGGTAGACAAACATTGAGCCGAACAAAAAAGCAAACCAAGAACTATGAAAATTTCGATAACACCCAGTTTTACGCACCCCCCTCCCCCTAGATATTACCAAGTTATTTGAAAAACACGAAAACTGAAAGAAACAAAAAATTGATAATTTACAACCAAAAAAGATCGAAGAGAACGTCAATTTAAAATGCACATATTCCCAAAAAAAATTCTGTTGGCCAAACTTTAAGCAGAGGTGAAGCTGCGCTTCGCAAAAACTTGCGAGAACACGACTAAAAAGCAGCTATCTTTTGAATTAAGAAAAAGTAGAAATACGCCTCGAATTAGCAAAAACTCGGCAACGAGTAGGATTCGAATGTGCGTCCTACTGCAATCAAGAGATTTTGAGTCTCACGCACTATCCACTCAGACACGCAAGCTTAAGAACCGACAACACTAATCACGAATAAAGCAGCTTCATATGCTAATAAATTACCAATGCGATTCAGCAAAAATGGCTTCAATAACAAGACTCAAATTTACTTCAAGTAATAATTTGAATATAGCAAACTGAAGGAATCCACACTAACTTTGCATGAAACAAATCGCAAACGTGTTTAAATAATGCATTTCAAAAAATTGCAAAATTGAGTTTAAAAATTTCTGAAATCGACTTTCATTTGTTGTGTTGTTTGAAACAAATCACTCTTATCGGTCCATTTGATGAACTAAACATGCATCAAATGTCTCAACTTATTACTATTCGAATGTCAAAGCACATGCTATGAAAAACCTGTAAAGTTGCCCCAAAAAAGTTACCAATATTTGCGACTTAGGTTGGAAAAAAGAAGGTTCGTACTCGCTTCGCAAGTGTAATCAGAACAGATATGCCAACTGCTGCCTCAAATAATTTAGGTGATTTTGTTAAACTAGGCATTCAATTAACTTGAGAAGAAAGATTTGAAGAAGACAATTTGAAGAACAGATAGTGAATTAAGTCTTCACAGCGGTCAATTACAATAGTAAAGCTTGGCCAAGAAAATTAGCTGAGTCTGAATTCAAAAATTGGATGTGCTTGTTCACGCAAACAGCCAGATGACGTTGTTAGATTCTAAACAACCCATTCTAGCCATGGTGATTCGAGCAGTACTAAAAAATTTGCAACGTCAGAAATCACCTTAAATTTTTTGCTTTTTCGAGCGAAGATCCATGGAAATTAACTCTTTGAAATCCGATGAAAATCAACTATTTGTAGCATCTTCGGATAGCTAAATTGATGCTTAATCAATACCCCCTTCACTGCGAAAAAATGATGATTTTTATTGTTTTGAAAAGATAGCAGAGGCGGATAGTTTTATGTGCAACTTGGGCAGCATTCTTCTCTATTCGCATATTGATTAAAAAAGAAGTAAGTCTAATTTATATTCTGTTTGCATTCAGTTTCTACTCATATTAACGCTCATGATTGAAAACAGTATAATTAAAGCACCAAAATAATTGACAGAATTAAACTCATATCTACAAAATTAATGAAACATTCAATGACTCTTTTCTTTGCTTCCTACGAATTGGATCAGACAATGATATTTTTATTATCTCTCCTACCCCATTTTCGAATAATTAACATCACTATTTGCAGCCAGTGCCAATTGTAATGCGCTCTTGACGAACACAATTGAATTTCTTCTCATCTTTACAACAAAATCTACCGGTAAAAAGCAAAAGGATGTTTGGCGTATGTTGAGTAAGAGAAAGGAAACTTGGCTTCTTATAATTATAATTTCACACTTATTTATTCCCAACGAATTGCAATTACTTCTAATTTCCGCTGGGAATTTCGACGCCTTTTTTACCTTCTATCTTTTTCAGTTCCGTTTTCACCATCAAAATTTCATGGTTCGAAGCACTTCACGTAATATGATATATATTAACCAAAGTAAGAATCTAGACCGAAGACTATTTAATTCTAATGAATTTAGGATCTCTCAATCAAATCCCCCCCCCCCCCTTTTGACGTCAAAGTTTACAGAACTACCTCGCTTAAAATGGTCAAATTACTTTTTTATCTTGATTCTTTCCTGACTTTTTGAGTGAATCAATTAGAGGTACTGCGGCTGAGGGATGAAATAAAATATTTGCTTTTAAAGCTTTTTCATGTATTTAATAATTACAATTCATTTACGTAATTTGGTGCAGCCACGAAAGACGAGCGTACACAAAGGGAGTAAAACCAAGAAAAGAGTTCATTTTGTTCATCGAAGACATTAAATAATATCACAAATAACGGCAACTGCACTGCCTGTACCGAGCCCTTTGCACCCCTGCACTACCTGGGTCACGGAGCCGCGCTTGACGGAAACTGCAATCCGACCACTCGTAAGTTGATTTCGCCACGATTTGTGATTCTGGTATGTCCTTGGCATCTCGTTAAACGGCCATATGTATCTTGCTTCCAGATTTGATCGTTCGTGTTCGTAAGCTGCGATCAAACAAAGAGGGAAACGACTAACCAATAAAAGACACCCTCTTATCATCAGCACTTGCAGTAGAACAGTTTGTTTTTCCGGTAAAAGAAGAAAAAAGAACGAAATGTGGAAGGGCGATGACTAGTATAATTTTACATTTATTCGTTGACACTCAAATTTACTAGTCTAATCTATCAGCCGTAAATTCAGCCTTTCGCAGATTGAAGTATTCATCGGTATTCGAAATCAGTCATTTGAAAATAATCATGACAGTTTGGTAGAAAAGGTCTTGAACTTCTTAATATGTCCCATGACTTTTACACGAAAATCTAGTTCATTCTTAGAGGTCTCATTCGGCTTTTTAGTGTATTTTTTCCATTTCCACAGATATATTGACGTCTACTCGCGTCGACAGGACTGGAGGCGTTTTTTGGACTGGAGGCGTTTTTTTGGACTGGAGGCGTTTTTTTGTGCTAGAAGTAGGTGGGCGTGTCTTGGCCAGTGAGTAGTCTGAACATGGGCAATGGCATGGTCTTCATGTGTAACTGTCCCACACTAGTCGCTAGCATCTCCACTATTCTGTCATGCGGCACTGCTACCACACTCTGCCTGAAAAAGAAAAAGATTTTAGAGTTGGAAAAAGTTATCAATTCAGAATCGAAACCGGTTAAACCTCAAAATCAAATTTGAACCCGAACAACTTTTCCGACTTTTCTGAAAAAAGAAACAAACAAACAAAAAACCATCATGACCTATATAAGAGTCTGAGCTACGTTCATTTCATCGAATCTCAAAAAGCCCCGCCCAATACTGAAATCCGCTTCTAAAATGAGCTTTTTACCGGTTGATTTCAATGATGCGATGACCCACTCTAATTCCGCCTCTCTCAGCAATTCCTCCTCGCATCAGACTACAAATGGTTCCATTCTGCACACTGAATCCCAACTGGTACCTCAAACTAGGTCTCTTTATCAACACAGTAGTTGTCGGCGGACATTGCACTATAGTTAATCTGGTTGCCATTTCAGACTTCAAAGACTTCAATTTCGCTTGTATTTTGGCTAGACTAAGACCCACTACACTTGTTCCGTCAATCGCCAGGAGTTGGTCACCGACGTTCAAGAGCCCCGACCTCGCGGCAGGTCCCGTGGGACTGAGGTTGGCTATGACGAAGGTGGGCACTACGGATCCCCAGCCAGATTCAATGACGACAATACCTGTAATTTCTCCTTTTTGCTTGAAGATTGTCACATCTTTAGAGGCCTCTTTGTTCGCAAAGAGCATCAAATCTTCGCCTTTCAGTTCCTGTAAACATATAGTGAAAAAGCTTATTTTAGTAACAAACTTGACGAGTCGCGCGTTTTTTCAACTAGATGAGCCGAAATTATTTAAATACAGCCAAGGGTGAAGAAAAAAGCGCTGGGAGTAGCCGTTGCCGAGTAGGGATAGGCAAGCATCTCTCACACGAAGATCGTGCGTTCGGATTCCACCTCAGTCACGGTCGGAGGGGTCCCAGGGTCATCCGCCTCCTCAAGGTGGGACCGACTACGGCGAAATGGATGACATCCCCCCTCCCTCGCGGTTGGTCCTGCATTGAGTCGACCGGTGACAATTAAGAAAAAAAAGCGTTGGCAACTGTACTTTTGTACTGACAAACAATTTGTTTAGTTACTAGCCTGTGAGTTGAGCACATCGAGGTACTCCAGTTCGAGTGCCGACTCATCCTCGATTCCGTTGTGCTTGAGGAAGTCCAGGTAGGCTAGGTGGAAGGACTGGCCTATGCTCTGGGCTATCAGTTGAGCCTTGTCACATTCCAGAATGTGGCACACTATCTTGTTTGGCTTGAGTGAGAATCCCTCTGCATCCTATACACATTCTTACTTTCGCCTACTTTTCTTTGTTTATAAGAACAAAACTTTAAAAAAATCCATTAAGACGCGATACTTGTAGCTTTATATTTTTAAAGGTAATTTTTGTTTTCAAGTTTGTTTTATGATTACAGCAGCAATTCTGTCGCCTTGTGACAACTGGAGTAAGTCTTTCATTATCAAACACTATTAATAATTGGTTTCAAATAATCGCCATCTCATGTGTTGAAGCCTAGTGTGAACAGGACATACCAAATCATTTGCATATTGCGTTTGTTGGCCTTCATAGCATGTTTCGTCTTGACTCGCCTGACCCTCGGCTCCTTCACTCTGCTGTTGAGAAGCCTCGTCTTCTTCTCCTTTCGCTTCACAGTCATTGTTGTTGTTGTTTGATTGTTGTTGCTCTGACGGAGTGTTGAACGCCGGTATCCTTCTGGCCATGATGACTATGATATTAGCAATGTCCGCAATGTATGATATGGTGCGGAGAGGGTGTTCTGAAACACAGTCACAAATCTTTTGAAACATTTGAGGCAAATATTTAAGATCGATCACTGCATACAGTGAGAGAGCAGACATTCGAGCTGGTTCAGCTCATTTCTACGCACCTAACTAATAGTTGGTGGCTTAAATTCAATCTTTTTGTGAGCTGTGATGAACCGGAAATGATAAAATGATACCGGAACAATGACAGCACTCAATAGCTCAATCCTTTTTTTTCATTTCTTGATTGCGAGTCGGTAGACATCGTAATCATACCCATGCGCTATCATACTCATATCCCAGCCCTAACGCTCGATTTACATTCCGGGCTCAATCTCTACTGCTATTCTATAAGTCGCCTGACACCCAAATCTTGCAGACGACGAATTAATAGATTGTGGCAGCAAGTCTACACTTGTACATACATTTGTACATTTGAAGATACTTACACTTGTTCATTATGAAGATATTTACACTAGTACACTTGGATAATTTCAACTGGCATATAAAAAGTTCATTTTTTGCGCAAATCACCAAAGGAATCATTCTGTTCTTGTACCTATGATAGACTGATCGTTGTCCATGTTGACAAGTGCCAGTTTCTCAGTGGATATGTGCAGATACACCTCCACCGATGGCTGGAACTCTCCGTCCGGCGCTTTGATCCGAGTCACTGCTTCGTGTGCCTGTTGCATTCGCAGTGTTCTATTTGGTCTGAAACAGAACAAAATTTTATCTTATTGGATGCGACTATCACGGTAATCAAGAGTAAAATATAAATTTTGTGATCGGAGAGCGTAACTTGAGCTCCGTTGAGGAAAAAAATCGAAAAATGGAAAACGGAGCAAAAGAAAACACTTAAATTCAACGTGGAGGCGAATTGCAGCTTCAAAATATTTGCGATAGAACAAAAAAATTGTAAATTAGCAGAGAAAATGAGACGGAAGCAATTAAGTCGGAGAAATTATTTTTCGACATTTGAAAAAAAATACAACAACGAAGACAAATTCCTCTGGAATCATCATTATTTTGACAAAAATATGCCTAGAAAGAAAATCATCGCCAATAAATAAGCACTTAAAATCATTTACATAGCAAAAACTAAGCCAACAAAACTTGGGTAGACACAAGTTGAGCCGAAAAGAAAAGATTTCATAGAAATTTTGAGCAAAAAATTGAAATTCGAAGTTTTACACTCCGTTCTTTGAAAAACACAAAAGACTAACGATCTATTTTTGCAAATTAAACGAAGCAAAATGATGCAACTAAGTCGATATAGCCTAAGCCTCATCCCATTTAAGCTGAAAAAAATGGCCAAAAATGAGATTTAATTAACAGAAAATCAAAATTGTTTACCGTAAAAAACACAGAATGACTTTCATTAGTAGTTAAAACAGCCTTAACAAATAATAAATTGCTTTGCTTTGGAGAAAAAAATCCATGCTTTTGACAGTGAACCAACAAAAAAATAAGAGGACACGATAGTCCGACATTTCAAAAAATATATATTTACCACATCGAAAACAAGGATAGCCGGTTAGTGTGCAAGTAGCACAGAATGTTCAGACATAGTCTTAGAAAAAAAAGTTCTTTCAAATGAGTATAGTTTTTTCTGCGTGGTATGATGAAAAGATCTGAACCAAAAAAAAATAGACTTTAAGCACATTCTACAGTCATAGTAAAGCAGCCCAATTGGAAAACAGTTTTTGTAGAACAAGAAAAACGAAAAAAAAAAATTCAAACCGGTTTTCCTGACTCTGAGAAAAAAGTTTCATCATTTTTCAATGTCGTTCGAATCACCACTGAAGGGCTTTAATAAGATATATCACTCAACCCATTCCGATGATTATTTGTGGTACCTGATTTTGCGTGGAAAAAAAGTTAAAAAAAAAGCCCGAATACAAAGTTCCTCCGCATTTTTCAAACGGTCGGAACCCCAGACCTATGTTCCGAAGTCACGTGCTTCACATCTAGACCTAGTGGAAAGAGCCCTGAAAGTGACGAGGTTCTATAGTAGCAAGGTATATATACATAGATAGATACATGGTGAACAAGAAAACAGGGTACACCGGGACTTGGATCCGAGACCCGTCGCCTGTAAGAAAAATTGTTAACGGGATAAAGTTCAAGATCCTGAATACAAGTCACTTGCAAGTCGAGCAAGTGAAATACATCACGAAATTTTACACTGGCGCGGATTTATGAGGGGATGGCTCGTATAGCAAAAATTTTGGCTTTTAAAAAGTCAAGGATGACTTTCCAAGCTCTTCCTTTGAACAGTTATAAACAATTTTGAGGCATTTATTTAAAATTTGCGTTTGAAATCAAACTTGATGGCGTACCTGGACGTGGATATGAGCTGAGTGGAGCCTAGATATGCACACTTGTATTTAATGCCCTCGTAGAGTGAGTCAGGGTTCACTGGGCCGGGTGCTCTGCCCCCGTAGGCTGTGAGGCGCTTGCCCTGGAAACAGTTCTTAGGCAACTCCCCAATGTGCTTGTCCAGTGAGTTTAGTGCCTTCTCGTCTGCTTTGAGTAGTTTGTGGCCTTCCTCGTGGTCTACAAACAACAAAGAACTTCGACTTTTACTTGTTTTAAATATATATGCGGCTTTCATGAACAGCATATACTTTCCAGTTTTAGATTGTTCCGACCAGGTGACGAGGTCACAAGTAAAAACTATGAAACATGGTGGGTTTTTCAGCCTATTTTTACCATTCCAAATATAAAATTTTAAGGTTGGAACCACAAAACATAGCCAACTAACAGTTGGAAAAATGAACGCAAGTAAACAGAAAAAAAACACTGACTTGGTTGAAAAAATCGAAAAAAACTTTCGAATTTCAAAGAAAAAAATAGATGCGTTTTAAGTTGCTTGAATTTCTAGAACAATTTATGATTGGCAATATATGATGTTCTGATAACAATAACCCAAGGTGAGAAAACTGGATCAACAGGTAAAGTTTTTATTCCGCTGGAAATCTAAAAATTAAATTCCACTTTCAAAACTAGAAATCGTACACGTTTTTTCGCGCAATTTCCCCGTTCGTATTTGGAGAGTGCTATTTACGTAACTTTCAGCAGATGAATTTCAATCTAAGTACGCATATATTCATTAATAAGTAGGAATACACATCTGTAGTTATTAGAGCATTTAAGAATTTTTTTCCTGAAAAAAAAACAAAAAAATCACCAAGACCTATATAAGAGTCTTCACCTACGTTCATTACTCTTAATTAAAAAAGATCACTCCAGCAACAAGCTCTCCGATTTTGACGTTGTCTTTCGTGCTATTGGTGCCCAGCACTTCGGAGGATTCAGCAACAAACGCGTACCGGATGCACATAAATGATCTCAGGATTGGTAATTAGAGACCCATGAACTAAACCATTTGTCATGAACTACTGAGATTTGTTCCAGTGAACTTTCTATGGAGCTTGTCTTGCAATAAAGAGCATGGCGGTTCGAGGATTACCATGATCCGTGATTGTTGGTCGAAGGCGTCAAAAGAGGGCAACTAGCTGTTCTCTGTATAGATAGATGATTGGTGTAAATTTTAATTTGAAGACTTTCAGTCGGGTCAAATTAAAGGCATTAACTTTATGAATTCAGGTGTTCGGTTTATCAAAACCACTTGAATTGTAATATCTATGGCTATTTTTGCAAAATATATTTTTGTCAACCTTAAATGACCGCGTAACAAAAAATAGGTCGAAACTGGTCAGAGCAATCAAGCACAGCCAAAATTTTATTTTAATATTGCTTTAAGACTTTATACCTATTGAAATAGAAAGACAACAGGCTAAAAAAAATTATTTTAAATTTAGAAAACTTTTTTTAGAACTCACACCCTTTTAAAGCTCATTTGACTTTAGCTTTAGATATGAACACCTCAATCTGAGAAAACTTCGTTTTTTTATTGCGGTGGCGATTCTTAAAATCAAACTCAGCTCTGAAAATTAAAAAGCTAAGGTCAAAAATTGAACCAGCTAATGAAAAAAATTGAGCGTTAGAAACTCATGACAAAAAGAATTATAGCCAACAAGCAGTTGGGAAAGAGTCAATGAACGCAAGTAAACAGAAAAAAAATACGAAATTGTTGTTTTTTAAATCGCAACTTCTGGTATTCGAAAAAAAATAGATGGATTTAAAGCTCGTTGAATCTCAAGAAAAAATTATTGACTATTTTTTGATAAAATTAACCCAATTCGAGAAAACTGGATCAAAAGTTTTTTTTTTGACTGTGAAATCTGATCGTTAAATTCCATTTTCGAAATGAGAAGTCAATCACGTTTTTCGTTATCTTTACATTTTTGCGGTTCGATAGTGGAGTCACATCGCGAAAGTAAATTTGAGCCTGAACAAATTTTCCTGAAAAAAAAAACGATATAAAAATCATCGCGAACTATATAAGAGTCTTAACTGCGTTCATCGACTCTTAAAAACCAAATAAAATAAATAATTTTTTGCCTGGTTAAATTCTAAGTTCAGCTAGTTAAATACCTTACTCTTTTTAAGACGCAGTAATGAGGAGCCAAACTTTGTTCTATAAACTTACTAATTACATTAACATTTAAATTCGCGACGAAAAACTAACCCATTTGACGCTTAGGGATCTTCCCTTTCAGTTCGACTGAAGCGCAACAACAGGCCATGTCATTGTCAACTTCAACCTCGCCTTCCGTATTATTATGACAACGACACAAATGCGACTTGTCGGCGAAACGACTCTGATGCGACTCAATAATTTTACTGAATAACAAATTTGAGAATAAACTCATGCTGGACATACTACTTCGTCGTGTACTAATATCTTGTCCGCTATGCTTCGAATGTCCCCCGATGTTGGAGGAACCCTCACTGCAACCACAGGAATCGCAGAAGCTTTCCGGACTGCTTAGTTCATTTTCCGAGACTAAATCTTCCGCGGTCGAAGTGAGGTTATTGACGTTGGTGGGAACTGGCTGTAACTTATGATCTCCTGAGGAATTGAATGGAGCAGCTAGACGACGAGGGGATTTAGATGTTGAAGTGTATATTGATTTAAGAGGAGCTTGAGGCAACGCCGCGTAGTTCGAGGAGAAGTTTGTACTTTCAGAACTGACAGTTTCTGTCATTATTAGTAAAATCAAAAGTTTTATCTTGACGGTTCACTATGCAGTGAACACTGCATGATGTCAAAGTTTGCTGCTGCAAAGGAGTACAGTCGTTTTCACTTTATACTTTCAATAACACCAATACTTCTAATACTGAATTTGGATGATGGTAAGTAAATGTGATCGCGTAAACATCGTAGATAGTCATGTGATAACAGCTAAGAAAAGAAAGTAATGAATAGGCGAAATCAGCATATTGAATATAATTGTTTCCACCTATTACAATTCTGATATTCAATCAATTTTTATTAACTTTTGAACAACAGAAAGTTTTGTCGTAAGACCGCACAGAATAGACAAAACGAAAAGATCAAGCAAAGATAACACTTGTTGCCAAAAAAGGCAAAGATATAGGTTACCTATGTCTATGTGTGTTAATAGAAATGAAAAATCAATTTATCTGAAAAACCTCCGTTTGGTAGACAAAACTTTTAAAGCAAAAATATGCCTACATAAACCAAAAACTTAAGCGACTGAATGTGCGCTATTCTCGTGGTCGAAAAACCGAAAACTTGAAATTGCCCAAAACTGACTGCTTTTCACCCTTTCTTTCTAACTTAAGAATAATGATTTCTAATTGGCTAGAGTAACTTTCCGTCATTCGGATCTGCTGCCATGAAAGATAGGTCAGTTTCGATAAGCAGAAACTGCTTTTGGATCTGTCTGATCTATGCTAAACAAGCTTATCTGAGTGTCACGTCTCTAACTTATCACCATCTCAATTTATCATCACGGTCTATTATGCTAATGTTGATGAAGGGCTCAAAGCAGGATTACAAACTGTTTGTGAAATAGTACTAAATTCAATAAATGGATCAACCGAATCAGAGGGGGAAAATGGACAAAAGATAGATAGTAGTGTAGTGCAGAAGGGAGAGAACGATTGATTTTAACTCGGTGTAGTAACTGCGAGCACTCCGCGGTAAAAATGTCAGCATCAACCCATAAAAGTAGACTAATTACTTCCCTATTTCACCAAGTAGGAAGCAAACAAGACATCAAACAGCAATCGTCATCACAGAAAAAACTGAGAATTTAAGAGGAAAAAAGAGTCTCCAAACAAAAAAGGGACGAACTTGAAAGAAGAGAAAGCAGCACACCCTTATCTAGCTCAATCATAGGGACACACTGTCCGACTGTGTAACGCAATCTAAGCCCTATTGCCCACAACAATAACACTACACACAAACACAAGCCCCATATCACCAAAATGAGCGATTAAATCGACTTGTATACCATGCATATTTTTTTCGGTTACAGGGCAATCAATCAACGCTATTTTAGTTTACACTCTGCCACTCTACCCAATGTACAAATGTTTTTACTATATTTTAGGGGTTGATTTTTGAGCAGAATCACTTATCAGAATAGATAAAAGTTATCACACTAAAATTATTCACTAAAACGTGCGACTTGCGTTTATCAGACTAGATAAAATTTTGGCGTTGCGATGGAAAATGTGCGACTTGTGTTTTAGTTTGCACTAAAATATGCGACGTGCAACCGCCTCTGCGCTCTCAAAAATTTTAGCTTTTCGTGAATATCGCTTTTCGCAGTAAATTGTAGGCGGATGGATTGGACTACGACTGCAAATTAATTTTCAACGATAAATTGTGCGATTGATGTATATGCTAATTTTACAATATAAATGAAAATAGGGTTTACGGGTTGTCAAAGTTAATGTCAAAACAGTCCCGTCTATGTTAAATTCAAGCCTAAATTGCAGAAATGGTAGCGAGTAACATTAAAAGCAACCCAACTTAACTATAGCTCAAGTGAAGTGATTCTTGGGTAGTGGAATTAGTTTGAAGATTTAGACTAGCAGGCCCGTTTCAGTTCCATTAAGTCATAAGCTTCACTTTGTTTGGGCTGAACTAACTTTGCAAGAGAGAGAGAACAAACAAACTATTCGCAATCGCAGAGGTACTAAGTTCTAGCGAATGTGCTGCAATGAAAATGTACTTATAGAGAACTGATTCGCTTACCAAATGAAAATCAAGGCTTAAACAACAAGTTGCCCTTTGCATGAAACCAGAAATAAACTCAAGTGGCACTTTTGAAAATATAAACAAATATGAATTTCAAGAGAAAAAGACTGCTCGAATCACGGCGAAGCCCGTAGTGCTCCAACTGCCCCCCAACATCAATGAAAAGTTTTGGATTGAAAAACCTGATAAAATATCCTGATTTTTCTCTTAATTAAGAGCAAATTGCTTATCTCATTTCAACTTGGAATGGTTTAACTCATCGCTTACTTATTCGACGATATATTCAGTTGGTGATGTTTAGTTCTCCATAACTTAACGAAAAATGATCGCAGGTGAAATATTTTCTTAAGTTTGAGCTCAGGACATTAATTTCGCTCAGAAAAATTTCATCAAATCAAATTCGCAAACTGAGTGG